GATTCGACAGGGCTCTAGTTACCGAAAATCAAGTTGAAATACAGCCTGCCTGGTCTAGCTCCATTTGATTACACCAGACGATGACGTCATAGTCTCTCCATTACCCGGTGCAGCCAAGTATAAGAATAACATAAAGCTTCCGGGAGTTGCTCTACGATTGTTCAACAGGTTGGCAGGTTGGTAAGCCGGAGGGTGGCAGATTAATAGGTAGTATGAAAGGAGGGTAGGTATGTTAATCTCTAGTAATACTTCTAATCTTTGGCATATACATGACTATTTGTTTTGTAAGTGCTGTTAATCTTTTTTTTTTAAATCCCCCAAAAATCAACCGTTTTCAGGTATTCCAATTATGTTCGCATCAGGTGGCATCTGTTGCAAAAATAAAATATTTCTTACTCAATATTTTTCCTTGGTGTCTGACTCACTAATTGTGTCGTTTTTGCTACACTGAAAAATACTATTGGTTTATATTGCGTTCGAAATACCAATAATAAGTGTTATAACAACGTTTCCGATCTGCAAAATAGATATAGACAAAGTCCCGCCCCACCCCAACCCATCCCACCCTCCACCCTTTCTCAAACGAAAAAAAAACAACAACCCAAAACAAACAAGCCGCAAATAAACAGACAGCACATAACGCGACTTATTGAATTACTGTAACCTTCAACAGACGTCAGATATACAAGTCGCTGCACTTTGAACTCTCTTTGACTCGCCACTATCGTGAAGGCTGTTATGTAGATCAGCTGTCATTGTTTGTTTGGAGATAACCCGAACATGAAGGAAGAAACAAATATCCAAAACAACAACAACAACAACAACAACAACAACAACAACAACAACAACAACAACGACATCACCATCACCACAACAACCAGCATAACCACCAACAGAAACATGACTATCCCTCCCCCTCACCCCTTTTCCACACACACAAGCAGCAACAACAGTGACACCCATGGCAACAACAACAACAAGAACAAAAACAATAGAAACAACAACCACATGAATAACTTTGAATAGGAATCGGAAGCTTCAACAAAAGAAAAACAAAAAACCATCAAATAAAAAGCCAAGCCTTCTTTAATAATAAAGAAATCAGCAGTGAAAAAAAAACCCCGCAGTCTTCAAAACGCTCGTTGATTGCAAGGGGAGAATACCACAGATGATCAAACAGTAACGTCCTCTTGTACGAGTTACCGCCCTTGACAAGTTGTTTCAGTCGTCGTTATCTCACAGTCAAACATTGAGGGTCATTGTCTCTGTGGAATTGATAGATGTGGTGTTTTATTGTTGCAGGGACGTTCTCTCTCTCTCTCTCTCTCTCTCTCTCTCTCTCTCTCTCTCTCTCTCTCTGTGTGTCTCTCTCTCTCTCTATCTCTCTCTCTCTCTCTCTCTCTCTCTCTCTCTCTCTCTCTCTCCTCTCCCTGTGTTCTGCCAATCTGTCTGTTTAACGTTACCACTGTTATTGTTTTTAAAAAGCAGCTGGGGTGGGGGGGGGGAGGGGGGTGTTGCACGTCATAGTAAGGTTAATCCTTAAAGAAAATGTCCGTGATAGATTTTGAAATTGTATAGCTAATTGTTTTAGGTAACATCCTACACACATAACGTGTGCGTCTTCTGATCGGCGCAAGCTTTATTGTTGTGTTGTTCCCCTTTCCTATATTGCTTAACATTGTCTTCAGACAAAATTTATACAGTTTAATATGATCTAAAACTTCAAAGAATCCTTATTTCTATCTGGTTATTGCGCGCGAGTAGACTTCTGGGAAATCGTAACTCGCATGCGTAAGATCAATTTGATGTTCTACAAAGAATCGTGCTGTTGTTTTGTTTTTGCTTTTTTGTTATTGTTTTTTTTTTTCTTCTGGAAACCAGTGCATAGCTTAATTTCAAAATGTGTTCTTTGTGAAACAGTGATAATATTCCGACTGATTAAGGGGGGTGGGGCTACACCTGGATGCTATCTCGCTTATTACTGGACCGAATTTTACCACATTTCACACATATAACAAGCATAGTAAGGAGTTTTAAAATCCGCAATCGAATTTGAGAAAAAAGTTTCGTTTCCATGAATACGCCGCCATATTGGATTTTATTGACATGTCTTACGTAATGAATACCGCACTTATCGCTCATGGAAATTGATTGGGTTTGTTTTTTTTTGCATGCGTGTTCACAAACATTAGATCTAAAAATTCGTCTGTTGTTTTTTTCCTATACGAATTAGAAAATATTTTATGAATTTTTTCCTGAGGTAGCATTCAAGTTTGCGAAAAATCCGTGAAAATCCACACTCCTGACACCACCAACAAAAATCTATTTCATGTATCAAAAATTCAACAGACAAATTTTTAGTATTACCTCTTCATTCTGTGAAAATTTCATGAAGATTGGATGAAAAATGGTGGAGTTATTCAAAAAAGTATAGAGAAAAGTCACGTTTTGAGAAAACGGCTGATAAAGAAAAATAAAATCTGACTTTATGAGAAAATGGCGGTCACAAACATGCCCGGTATGGGAAAAAATACGGTTTTGGGGGGGTTCTTATGCGATGAAATAGTTGTAGCAGAGGCTGAGGAAGCTAAAAATGCATACAACTCAAATTCCATGATTTTGAGCCGAATTTTGACTTTGGGGGTGTAGCTCCCCCTCCCCCCCCCCCCTTAAAACGAAAGTTTCGATCACAAGTGTGCATGTGTTTGTACGTGCACGTAAAAATATGTATGTGCTAGTGTTTTAGAGCGTGTGTGTGTGTGTGTGTGTGTGTGTGTGTGTTTGTTTTTCCGTTTTTAATGCTTGCATATGTGTGTGTGTGTTGTGTTTATGTTTGAGTGTGTATATGTGTGGGTATGTGCGTGTGTGTGTTTGTGTTTGTCGGTGTGTTTGTGTGTGTGTGTGTGCGTGTGTGTGTGTGTGTGTGTGTGTGTGTGTGTGTGTGTGTGTGTGTGTGTGTGTGTGTGTGTGTGTGTGTGTGTGTCTCCTTCTATACTCTGAGAGTCAGGAAAAAAAAATTACAACATTGTTGATATGCGTGTACATCGATACAAATGCTTGCAGAGTAGCTATCGCCCCTCCCGCCCAATCCAACTTAATTCCGGCCTTAGAACGTAGCGATAGAACGCAACACAACAAATAGTTTATGAACGTTGCGACGGGAGATACCGACATGCTATTGTGTGTTTTGTATGCAATCGCTCACGTCACTAGTAATTACACTGGCTGTTAAGGACGAGAGAAAAATGGTCGCCCCCCGCCTCCCAGCATAATATATATAATGAAAAGACCGAGCGACACAGGGGGGAATGGTATGATTGAGTTCT